GAACAATATTTCTAAATCTTTAAATCACAAAGAAATGAGGATTCAAAGCTATCATAATCTTAAGGGATAAAAGTTGTAACTATAATCACATACACAAATGCCACCCTTATATCCAAAAGTACACCTCTCCTTGATATGCCACTCTTATATCCGAAGGTACACCTCTCCTTAATATGCCACCCTTATCCCATGGTACAACTCTCCTTGATATGTCACCCTTATTTCCTCATCAAAATCTATAGATTATTCCCAATAAGAACAGACCGAAGTCACGACCATCCTGAAGGAATATTATATATAGTTTTTAACCAGTAACAGTTTCAAAATAGTCTTTATATCAAAACCTTCAAACTTCAGAACCATTAGTTCTTTAATCCATTTCTTGAATTCAAAACTCTTTTATTTCTTATAGTAAAATATTACTTTAATCGTTTTAGAAATAAACAATAATCTTATATTATCAACACAATCCAACTTGAATAAACAACTTGCATTCAAATAAAATTATCCGGACAATTCATGTCCGGACCCACTTGACCGGACTCTTCTTCCGGACAACAAAATGTAAAATATTCCGGTCATATCTTCTCCAGACAACAACATTCAATTATAAATCCTTCATTAATCGAAGTGATCGGACACACACACACCCTATATGGACAATACTGTATCCGGACACACCCCTATCCGGGTAGTACAGTGGTCGGACATCCCCGATCCGGAAAACATCATGTCCGGGTACAAATTCATCAATTTCAATCCAGTCAACACAATGGCCGGAGTTGCCCCAGTCCAGTCAACACTATGGCTGGACTTGTCCCAAACTGGTCATCAAATGTATTCAAGAATAATGCATTGATTTCAACATATCAAACTATAATCCAGTGATAAAATGATATGTAAAGTATGTTTGAAAACACTCACCTTATGCAAACTTAAGAGTTCTGAAGATGAAAATAACAAGTATGAATCCAACTTCAGTTTCCAAAATGGTGCACGCAATCTACATAATATTCTCTCTTTCTCTTTCTCAAGTTTCCAAAAATGGCAAGAAATCTTGCCTATCACCCTTTCCTCTCTACTTATACCCCTTCCATAAATGAAAGGCGGCAAAAAAGCATGCACATACAAAAATCATATTCCATGCATATTTACATTTCTTCATGCATGCATTCCATATTTATGCTTCACACACACACATATCTCATACATATATTCATAACATATGCATATACTTAAAAATTATGCATATATTTTCATGCATGAAAATACACATACTCACATAATCACATAATAGATACTTTGGGTGATAATCAGAACTCGGTTATCACAAAAATGCATTGATTTTTTATTCTTGAAAAAACCAAAAAAAATCTTACATCACACAATATATTCCTTTCAAGATAAATATTTAATTTTAAAAAAACGTAACAATTCTTATTTTTCTAGTTAACAAAAATACATTTTAAAACATTTTTAAATGTTATTTAGATGAATTGTGATTTATAAATCTTCTTAATATTGTTATATTATAATGAATAATTTATTTATTAAATAATATGTAAGTTTAATTTTTTTAAAGTATAATGATGTAACAAAAAAATGTCATATCAACAACATGTTATACGTAGACATTGACATTGACATGACATGACATATAAACATGATAATCTATGGGGGTGGGCTAAATGCACCCTTATCAATTGCTATCAGCATCCCTAACATTACTTTAATGATTATTTTTTTTTGTGTTTAGGATTTTTTTGTCCTTTTGTTATCATTAATTTTTGTTTTATTATTATTTTAATTAATTTTAAATTAATTTTCATTAATATGAGTTATTGATTTGATTTTTTTGTTTTTTTATTTATATT